AAATAATATGCGTAAAAATTACTCCTAATTTTTAATTTAATTATTAATTTATGGCTGTCAACAACGGGAACAACCCCAATTTAGAGTAAGGTCTAGTCAAGTTACAGCGTGGGGACGCGCTGAACGTCGCAGAAAAATTAGCCTGCGCTGAATTTAGGTCGCCTGATCTCGAACGGTCGTCTTCAAGAGCCGCCGAAGAGCGTTCTATTGTGAGAGCGGCGTTCAAGAAACGCAATTGCGCACTACGTCGACGTCGCGTACATCCCGCCAACGTCTAACGAGTGTGAGCGCTTCTTCTCTCTCGCTAAGCTGGTGCTGTCTGATCTACGGAAGCGAATGTCTCCAGCCAGGCTCGAGATGATAATGTTTCTGAACTACAATCGTGACTTGCGAAGTTTTGCAAATAATTGAATTTTTAATTTTCTCAGCTCACATCGATGTATTAATTTAAGTATTGCATCTTCGGGTTCCCTGCAACGAGCACAAGTGCAAAGTGGCAGAGCCAATTCCAGACTGTAGTGACCGATAGGCTCAAGACGTTGGAGAGATGCTCTTTAGCGATGCATTGCTGTACTCGGAGCCGGACCAGACCGCAATCTTCATGCCGATGAAATAGGCCTTCCGCTTGGCAGACAAGGACTGTAGCGGCGAGATCGACGCGGACGAAGTGGTAGACATGCTGGAGACCATCTTCGCCCAGTCTGGCGCGGTTAAGCAAGGCGAGATCCACAAATACGTCGAGGAATTCATGCGTGTAGTGGACAAAGATAACAGCGGCTTGGTGTCGTTCGAAGAGTTCGTCGAGGCGCTGGAGAACGGCCTCAAGCTCGAGGTGGAGGTGTACACGCAATGTAGACCCAAGGCCTCGGCTCTGGTAGCCAGACCGGAGCATGTGCTGGCAGCTATCAATGAGAACGAGGACGACGCGGGAGATTCGAGCGAGAACGACGAGTCGAAGGTCGTCGACGTGGACTCTGGCGACAAGATTCAGTCCAAACTTCCACCTTTGGATGTGCAGGAAGCGAATGTCAACAATTGTCGAGCCGCGATGCCGTCACGTGAGAGCTAACGCAACTCGTCCCAAGCTTCGTCCGTTGAGAAGAACAAGAGAGTCTCGTCGGCTGCGTCATCGGCTCCTGCCATGTGTCGCGAGCACGACGTTCTAAATGTGGAGGATTCCTTCAGTAGCGATATTGCGGCGCAGATGAAGACTGCGTACGTGGAATGGCTGCTGGAAGAACGTCGCTACGAGAAGGTGTCGATGGAGGAGCTCTTACTTCTCAACTGTCTCGCCAGTGGGGCGGAGGGTATTGCCAAGAGTCTCACAGAGATGGCAGAGATCGTCGTAGCCTCCTAACGAGAAAATTCGCATACAAATATCGAAAACAATACATTTTTCTTTTTGATGAGGCCACAAAAGTCACTGTCTTGTTGCCTCAACAACAGCGTCTTTGTAGCCTGGAAGGTTTTGCTCTGATCCAGACCTGCTTCATCACGGGCGTGTAGCGTTCCGGACGGTAACCGAGTGGGAACAACATCTCGAGCTACATGAACATCGGAGCGGTGATCAGAGCCTGGTCCAGGCTGTCGAAGAGTGCCGGTTTGCGACGATCGAAGACGACGTGACCAATGAGCTGCATGATCCAGGCTGTGGGCGTGGATGGCCAATGCGTGCATACTGTGCACGTCCATGGCCTTGGCACCCTCGACAACGAAGTAGTTGGCAAGTACGATCCAGACGGAGATGATGGCGACGACTAAGTGCCAGTACTTTGACTACGAGCGCGACCCAATCAGCACTTCTTCATGTCGAGCTCATTGCACTGCACCAGCAAACATGGTAGATGAACGCAGAATCAACATGCTAGAAACGCTCATTTTATAACATCAATGAACGTACTTGTGCTTCTCTTGGAGCTGCGTTGGTGGTCGGTCTTGGGTGCCGCTGCTCTGGACGGAGTGTGGTGCTGGAGCTCTTGGGCTCAAGTTGGAGAATGACACTGCAAAGATAGCTTAATGGTTAAGGGGCACGTGGACTCCACCATCCCAGCCACAACCTCGTAGAGTGTGGTCTCTGCTCGGATTCCAGCCGAAATGTAGTGCCATGGCACGCTGCAAGGGAAAGTGAGGCGTCGTTGACAGCGACTTGTTGTTGCTGCAACTACAATATGATCGCTACAACTTAGTGCTCGAATCACTTCACCTATGCTAATGATTCGAACAAAAGCACTGACATGGAGTGTTTATTAGCTTTGTGCTAAGTGTTACTGCTTCCTATATGCGTGGATACTCCACTTTTATTTTGTGAGTGATAGCTGTCCACCATTCGTGTGCATTCTCCCTTTATTTTGGTGGCGGTTACAACTTATTTGGTGGCGTTACACCTACCTCCGCGCATCCGCGTCGTCTGCTCTTCTTCCGCTGGTACTTGTCCGTCATCCGTTTCTGCAGCGTCCCCTTTTGCCGCAGTGCTTTTCTTCTTACTGCCTTTCTTCGACTTCTTGGACTGTTTCTTCCTCTTCGACTTCTTCGACTTGTCGAGGGGGGGGGGACTTGTTCTCTTCTCCCGTAGTCGCTTTACTGCTGCTTGTTTACTCTCTAGTCTCCTTCCGCTTTGCCGCCTCCTCTCAATTCTCGACTGCCTTCTTTAGCTCTGGATCCTCGGGTTCGAGCTGCTCTTGCAGCTGCGCGTTTTGTTTGACGTCCAAGGTCTCCACATTCTCAATGTGCTGTGTCGTGATCACAATCCGGCCCTTGGGTAAGTACACTTTGTATCCTTTAGTTTCATCATTTTTGCTACTGATCATTCTGACTTGCGCTCTTGCCTTCCACGTCTTTTAGCCTGCGTCTTTGTTCGCAGTGCAGGGGCTGTCAAAGGTGACGATCTCGGCACCATGCCTGTCAACATCTCCAAGGGTGACATCTCTTGACGCTGGCTCTACACGAGCTGCGGCTGAGTACGTACGCTGCGAACTCGACTGCATCTCCCCAAAAGTATAGTGATAGTCCACTAGCAAAAACCATGCATCAAGCCATATTGGGCACAGTCATGTGCATCCACTCGGCCTTTCTGCTCGATGTCTGGTTCTCTCTTTCGCTAATTTGGCGACGAACTCCAGTTGCCTTACAGAATGGATCCACAATTACGCATTCCTTGCCTCCATCGGTCCTGAGCACATGAATTCTGCAGCTGAACCTCTATTCAAAGCACACTAAGAAGTGTTCGAATTTCTTAGTGGCTTTCACCTTGTTCTTGACCAGGAATACTCTCACGTAGTTTGTAGACTAGTCGACAAAGTTGATTAGGCACCTTTTTCTACGTCTGTCCTTGGGTGTCATGGACCCCTTTATTGTCACTCCCTTTGACGCCTCCAATCTTGTTAATAGGCGCATTTCCTCCTGTGTTCTTCTGTGACTGATTGGTTTTACTCTGATTGCCTTGGACGCAGGTCAAGCAGTTCAGTCGCACTCGGCTTTTCAACTTGATGTCTGATCCAGCCGCATCGGCCATGTGCTCTACGGTGTCGTACGAGATGTGCCCCAGTCGTTTGTGTAACTCCAGTAGCGTTGGCTCGGTCACTGCTTCGTCCAGTGAGTTATTTGCATTTCTTAGCTGACTGACTGCCGCACTAGGTGATGATAAATAGGTTTATATTTGCATTAGGGTTCAATAGAAGAACACCTGAAATGTAAACGAAGCCTTATGACGTAACCCTGAGTGGGATGGACCTAACTTTGTGTCGTAAAGTGCTGCAAGTTTATGTTAAGAGTCTATTGCTGCGAATCAGCAGCATCTTCAAAATGCAAGTGAGAAATAACCAAGATGCGCCATTAAATATTCCCACCAGCAGCGAAGTAATTATGACCCTGTGGTTTATCGACCCGAGCACTAACTCGTATACTGGTAGAATGCCAAATAACAACTCCAATACTGGTAGGATTTCTAAATTTAAGGTGGGGTGAATTAGGCTACTAGCCTACTGGCATGAGCTCTAATAATCATTCCCATGCATTGCTGTCTCCGAGGACCATGGTATATTTGATCAGATGAGTTTTAAGGCAATCAAAAACTCAGAATCGCTGTAATTAATTTGTATTACATTTTCTTTTCAAAACGCGTTGTAGGCTGCTGCTATTTGATTGGCTTGCTAATTGCGCTCCACAAAACAATTTATGAGAAATCAAAGCTAATTCTGGCTACACAGGCATGTGTACGGTATACGGTAATAGCGTGTCCGTTCGGACACAGGTTTATATCAAGTAAATTTTGGAATAGAGTAGCATTAATCACAATACTGCAATAGTTCTAGCTAATGAAATATACGGAAAGATCCTGTGTTTGAGAAGAGCCGAACCTCCGTCCGCTCGGACATATTATGCCCGAACTTTTTCAAAATATTGGATATTACTTTAGTAAACACCAGTAATCTAAAAATTCTTAAAAATATCGGATATACTCGGACATCGATCATATTCGAGAGGTATGGTAGACCAGGCAGTTTGCATCCACTCAGCAACGAGAGCGATGCCAACGAGGGCGCTGATTCCAGGGAGCACACAACGAGCGCGCTCAACGGCACTAATCGTATTCTAACGATTTACAACCGCTGAGCGGCTGACACTCAAGAAAATCTACGAGGTAGTCGGCACAGACATGATTGGTAACATGTTTTATATTGCTCTCGACAAGTTTGCCCTTTATTTGCTTTTAAAGAGAATTCTAAGGTCGATTTACTGTCCAAGGAACTATGTGGCTAGCTATTTTGGTATCGTAAAATAACTTTTTAAAATTTTTCCAGCTCTAGATGGAGTATCAAATCGACGCTTACAAATAGTCGCGTCGATTCTCGACAAATACTGCTCCAAGCGCGGAGCTGAGCTCACGAACCAAGCGGCTCCTTGTACCAAAAGCGACCTACGCGCTTTATGCGGTACTATTATGAAGCGCGCGACATCTGCGGACGACTACAAAGATGCTGCCCTTCTCGCACTACTGTGGTATGCTAGGTCGGTCCTCCGGCACTATCTACTTGACAAAAAACCAAGTGTCGGTATACCCAGGTTTGAACTCATTATTTTATACATGTACGCTAATACATTACCCGCACTTGACATTTTGTGTGAAAATTTGTAGACTGACAGGTGGGTGTTTATTTATCAGCTGCACGCGCCTGAAGTCAGCATCACAGCAAGGAGCTTCGATCTATTGCGATCCTACAAACTTCTCATCCTTCCATATACACGCTCTCGCTGTTGCGACAACGATGTACGCGACGCGGAACGAATTTCTGTTGGACCAGTTACCCCCAAACGGCTCAGGCCCTGCCGACAAATCAGGACGAGATCCCTCTGCGTGATCATCTATTAAATAGGGAAATAACAGAGCCACACACACAGTCATCACTTGCGGAAGATCCAGGTCCCGGTGAAAGAGCTACCAACGTACCTGGCATTCATGCGTATGTGAACTGAGTGCTTCGAAGGTGAAGCTCTCAATGCATTCAACACGAGTGCAGTTTGACGGTAGGCTTGTCATCCCATTCTTTCCGACGAGCTGCCGCCCAAAATGCCAAAGGATATAGCAATATCAGCACCCCGTGGATTCTTGATCGAGGCAGTTGGAGAATGACAGCGGTAAGCAAGGCATTCAATTACATTGTTACTACGACGCACGAAGACCAAACGATTGTCATGTTGGAATATCAAGTCATCGGCCCGCTTATCAACATTGACCTGCTTTGGGACAGTGGTTCGGCAACGTATTAAACCGCGTCTCTTCGAAGTTGCACACGGCCTATCCGTATCTGTGAGCCTGCGCGCGGACGTAGCTGAAGTGCTCGCCTCAACTGCGCTGCCCCATTACCCCGAGGTTAAGCTAACATTCCCGGAGGCGCCCTACATGAAGCGGGTATCCAGTGCGTTAGAAGATCTACGAATTTCAAAGGCGGAAGTATTTGCATGGCTGCTCACCATTCGTGGCGCATTGTCGACTCATGGTTCATTCAACACTGTCAACAAGGAGACCACACAGAGCATCAATGTTGAGTTGCAATCCATCACCGACGAGCCACAAAGAAAACAAAGCGCTCTGATTGATTAGCAGACCCAGATCGTCAACGGCCTGGCTTCCAGTCAGGCTGCGCTTAGTGAACGTATGGAGCGACTGGAGGGTGTCTTTTAGCCTGCGCGTGCTGCTTCCACCAGTCTGCCGCTTCAGTCCCTCGGTGAGCTGACGCCGCCTGAGACCGCCCCAGATTCTGTAGTTGCTGAGCGGAGTCGACTGCACGCACGATCCAAGAAGATATTGAAAGTCTGGTTTAAGTGGTACTGTGTCCTGTTCCCTTCCCATACAAGGACACAAGACGCTACCATGAGTGTAAATTTGCTGTAGCCTTCCTGCGTCTTTTCCTACCTATCGGATATGATATGCGCGGTGACGACGGCTCAACCAAGTCGCGATCGGTCGCAAGGCTGAGACTAACATCCAAGAGCTCCTGCAAACCAAAAAATCAAAGCAAAATCAGTAGGGGCGATTGTGAAGGTACTGAAGCTATTGCACAGCGAGCGCAAGTTGGATGAACACATTGTTCATTACCAGCAGCTCGAGCAGGAAGGTCGGGTGTTTGATACCACACCGCAGAAGTCCAAGTACATCCTCCACCCTCACGACAACTAGCACACAAGGTTACATATCTATACATTAAATCACCATTCATAAAGAAACACAGCTTAGCTCACACCAATTTGGTTTCTACACCTTTGCCAGGTCAAGATGGTGCTACTCCACTTCAAAACGGATATTTTTAAAAATATGAAAACAAAAATTTGATTAGAAAAAAGTAACACTAAAAAGGAAATTCAAAGTGGTGAAAACGCAGAGCAAAGTGGTCCTCTCAGGTTGAACTGCAGCTAGGTGCCGTACTGCATGTCCTCCATGCGCTCCGCGGCAGCAACGGCATGCTGGCAATGCAGTGCCATCCTGCTAACAAGGCGCAAGTCGATACAATCCCGCAGAGTCGGCCCTCGCCGCGCGCTCCAGTATCTCCATCCGAGCAGCCGCAACCGTCCCACGAGGACGCTCCGCAACCAGCTCTTCACGGGACAAGGCAAGGTCGGCCTTGATCTTGGCCTTAAGAACGCTGAAACACCCTGTAGTACCAGCTCAAAAGTCGATTAGCTGGCCTTTTAAAAATATATTGTAATACAGTATACTGCGTACCTTCAATGGGGTTACACATTGGAGAGTATGGAGCCAGCCGTAGAAGTACGAAGTCGGCTCGTTCAGCGACGCGTTCTTCCGTTTGGTTATGGGCAGGGGCGTTGTCGAGAACGACAACGATTCTCTTGCCCTGGAAGTGCTCTTGAAAGATTGGCGAGGACTTGACTTTATTGTAGATTTCCTCAACAAAAGCAGCGTTAACATCCATGCGGATGCTGCCCCTTTGTAACTTATAATGCACCAGCCTTAAATCCGTTGAAACGGCGCACTGTACTTGCAGGTTGGCGCCCCTGGATGGCGGTAAGACGATCGTCGCCCGCTCGCCCCTTCTGGCACGCCCTTGGCTACGTTTACAATACAAGTTATAATTTGTCTCATCGTAATATACGATGAGGTTTCCTGCACTCATGTGCTCGCGCAGCTCTTTGGCAAACTCCATTCGCTTTGCTTTGTTGACTTCGCTGTTGCAAGTCATCGGCTCCACGCGGACCTGTTTCATTAAAATAAAAATATTATTTAAAATAAACATAATATATATTTTACCATTGTAACATACCTGTTTGGTGGTGTACAACTTGCCGATCAGCTTGTTGCTGATTGTCGAGGTGCTTAGGTCCACGCCGAAGTCGAATTGCACCATGTCTCTCATTGCACTGAGAGTGTAGGTGCAATTTTCTTCGAGGTACTCCTCGAGTGCCGCCTCGATCTCCGGAGTGCATTTGAAGTTGGACGGACGGGCTCCTCCGCGCGGGAGCAGCTCCGCCCGTCCTACTTCCACAATTCGACGTGCTGTGGTGGCGGGGATGCCGTTGTGGGCGGCCACAAACATCCAGTCTCCGCCCGCGCGGTGGCTGTCGAGGACACGTGCTCTGGCAAATGAAGGGTGCGGGGCTCCGGGCATCTTGGAGTAGGAAGAGGCTTGGGGCTTGGGAGAAGATTGAAAAGTGAGAGCGAGGAGTGGCAATGAAGTGCTCGCGGGCACGTGGGTTGATCCGCTTTGAACTGCGAATAAACCACTTTGAAGTACGGAGTGCGTTTACTCAACAAATTTGTGAAGTGACATAAATTCTAATGTAAAAGTTGAAAATAAATTTTATAACGTTTTGGTTACTTCACCACTTTGAAGTGGAGTAGCACCATCTTGGCCTGGCAAAGGTGTAAATGATAACTCTCTTAATCCGTGCAAAACACCTCGCTGCTGTCCTGCTACCGCTGCGCTCAACGGCCACCACCACCACCACCACCCCGGGCTCACAGCTGCCGCACACGCCGCCGTCGTACACTTTAGCGCTGTTCTGCTGCTGCTGGGCCCGAGGCCGCCACCTCGTCGAGCTCACAGCCACCGCACACCCCACCGCCGTACACTTCACTGTTGTCCTACCGGTCTGTTCTCCGCCCGTTTGTTTTCTACAGTTTAGTGTTTTCCAGAGCTTATATTTCAGTTGTGAGAGGCTGTCCGAATTTCCAGGCTCGGACAAAAGTGTCTGAACCTGCACGGTATGAGAGTAGGAGAATGGCACCTGAAAGAAGCATAATGTTCCTGACTGGATGTCTAGTAGCCTGAGACTATATTTGTTGAAGGAATGATTTGCGCAGAGTTGTTAGGGCAGTACAGAACTGAATGAGGACAAAGGTAGAGAGGATTAGGCGGCCATAGTGACGAGGAAGTCTTGAATGTAGAAGGAGAAGACGCTTGTGTGGTAGAGTTTGTAAAAGAGGAAGTGGTGATTTAGATAGTCTGGTGTCCTGGAGGGGAGTTATTCTCCACCAACCAGTCCAGTTATATAAGAAATCTCTATATGATATAGCACAATTATATTCCCCTAGATAGTCAGCATCACATCGGAGATGGTTACTTCAACAGCCTCCCACATCGAGGAATGTGTATGATGCTCTATCTGTCAGGTGCACCACAGGTGGCTGTTACTAACAGTCCTGTGCGTACATGAACATTTACTAGAGGTAGATCTTGTTTTGATATTGACATTCTTTTTTCTTTGACTTCTATTGTCAGTTTTGTCGTTTTGTTACCAGTTTTGGCAGGGGTTGTACAGATTTCTTGTTTTATTGATATTTTGGCTACTCAGGAAAACCGTAGAGGATTAAACCTGTTCACCATAGTAGGATGTCGTTGTTAGCGCTTTTGTTGCACGCGTTTTGAAGAAAGCTACTCAGGAAAACCTTTCATTTTGAGGTGTCAAAACCTGTTCGCTGTATTGTTGGCTACTCAGGAAACCTTTGAGGATACACCTGTTCACCGTGTTGATATTTAGATATTTTGTGAAAGTTGTGTTAAACTTTTGTTCATTAAACTGCCAGTTTTGTGCTCTTTAGTTTGTGGATATTTCTTCACACTTTGAAATTTCGTATTTGCTTTTTGTTATTATTTGATTGCTTTTACTTTTGTGTGGAGAGTTTATAGTTTTCAAATATTTTTAAAGAAAGGCTACAGCTTTCAAAGCATAAAAACATCTAACAGTGTCATCGGTAGTGTACGCATCTTGTTTGCAGGCTCTCATCGTTGGGGCTATTTTTCTCCCTAGAGGCTCATGGAGTTGTTTCTCATTTCGAAGATTTTTATTTTGTTTATACTTCGCAAGTGCAAGCAATAGGTTTGTAAACTATCGATTCCATTGAAAATGAAACTAATGCAGTAAAACTATAGTTGCTTTCTGTAGACAGAGGCTTGTGTAGGCTTGTCTTAAAGTCATAAAGTATTGGAGATTTTTTCTTTATGCTGGAAATGTTTGAAACTTTTGCCGCAATAATTTTTTTAAGTTTGGCGAATTGAATGAATTGTTTCGGCGTTGTTGCCTCCCAGTTTCATACATTTCTGGGCGTATTTCTTAACTTGGTTAAATACCAGACACATGTTTGTATGGACAATTGCCCATTTTCATTTTATCTCTTTCTTGTTTTTTTAAGGTATATTTTTATTTTACAGGTCCAAAATGTAGTGGATTACCTGTTCTCAACAAGCCGTAGATCTGCATTTAGTAGACTGCTGCAGCTTTGCATTAAGCGAGGTTTTAGCTGTGCCATTCGGCCTTGTAGCTCGAGATGTACATATTTAAAATGGTATCTCATTAAGTACACATATACTACTGTAGTAGTAAATACACAGCTTGTAGCTGGAATATTATAAGCACAGCTTTATAGCTCGCAAGTGGGGCATTTGGCCTCCCAGTATGGCGTGACACTACAGCAACGCTGCTGGTGCGTGAGGGCGGTATTTAGTTCTTCGCCTTAAATGTGTACTACATGTACTTGTACATCATCAAATGCATGTACATGTACGTGTATGTGTACGTGTACGTGTACGTGTACGTGTACGCGTACATGTACGTAGAGCACAAGGCACTGTGGCCTTCTAGTACGGCTTTTCAACCAGCAGCAATAGTACAGCGCTATGGCTGGTCTGGCATCATGGCCTCACAACTCGGCAATGGCCGGTGTGGCACGGAATGTATGTGTCTCGTGCGGCGCTACAGCTCCATGGCTGGCGCGGGGGTTTCATGACCTCCCAGCATGGCGAATAACTACGCATGCTGTGCTACAGCACAGTGGCTGGAGCCAAGTTGGCAACGTGGCCTCACGCGAGTTGGTGTCCGTCGGGCGATTTTCTCTCCGATCTCCTTCATGAGCCTTGGGGCTTGGAGGCGCATCGTCTTGCCGCTTTCAGCTCGTCAGTACCCTGGCGAAGCGTTGGGCTGATAACCTGTTGGAGGGATGATTTGCGCAGAGTTGTTAGGGCAGTACAGAACTGAATGAGCCTTGGGTAGAGAAGATTAGGCGGCCATAGTGAAGAGGAAGTCTTGAATGTAGAAGGAGAAGACGCTTGTGTGGTAGAGTTCGTAAAAGAGGAAGTGGTGATTTAGATAGTCTGGTGTCCTGGAGGGGAGTTATTCTCCACCAACCAGTCCAGTTATATAAGAAATCTCTATATGATATAGCACAATTATATTCCCCTAGATAGTCAGCATCACATCGGAGATGGTTACTTCAACAATATTCGACTGGAACTTTTTGTTAGAGATTCAGTATCTGAGACAGCGAAGCAACATTAATACATATTTTAATATTTTAAATGCATCTTAAAATACCAGTAAACCGATGCTGTTCTCGCTAATGCTGTGGGCGTTCTGCGCGCAGATAAGTGATGCAGCGATCACTTCAGCGTCTGTGACTCCAACGTCTCTGAATGCTGGCGTCACGGGATTGATGAACGTGGCTTTCACGACAGGAGCTACCATCCCTGTCGGCGGAACGATCGTCGTGACATTCCCCTCCACGTTCTACGTGGACTCCGCGTCGACACTGTCTTACCCTGCGGGCATCGATGCGACTAGTGCGATTGCAGCGTCTTCCGCTTCTGGCGTGGTGACTATCACGATTACAACGACCAGTGCTGCAGCTGGAGCCATCTCCTTCAGACTTGGCGGCATTTCGAATCCAGGTATGCTTGTGGTTAAGATAATGCACGGAGACTAACTTGCACATAATGTGTGACACATTTAGGCTTAGGCGCGTCGTCCAGCTACTCGATCCGCACTGAAAATGTTGGCGGCATTACCCTGGAGTCAGCGACAGTACCAGGTTCTACATTCAGCTCATGGACAATGTCTAATGCTGCAACGGTGGTCGCTGCTTCATTGCTTGCTGGTAGAACAACATCCTACACGGTCACTTTGACGACTGATGTAATGTTACGTATTGATAGCGTCATTGCGCTGAAAATTCCTCTCCTCAGCGACAGCGTCATTGTCTATAGTAGCGCCAATCTTGCAGGCTTGTCAGGCCTCGACTCAGCCTCGACGGTACTACGAGTGTCACCACCATACATTCTTCTCAAAATTGCTGGCCAAGACGTCGCTGCAGGGCAAACGGTCTCGATTACTTACGGTAATATCATCAATGCGGCAGCACAAGCCACACTTGCACCGCCGTTTTACGTTGACACACGGCACCCAAATGGAGCCATTTTCCAAGTCAGTTCTGACACGTTCCTAGTGCCCTTCACAAGCACAACACTTACATCAGCGACGATAACTCCTGTATCCTATTGGGCTGGCGTTACGACGGACTACAATGTGGTGTTTGCCAACTTGGCCTACGTGCCGTCAGGAAGTCGAGTGGACGTTACATTCCCGTCCCGTTTTGACATTAGCGGCGCTACTCTGAGCCACATCACCAATTTGCCTAGTGTGAATACTGCTTTCTCTCTGACGAGTTCGACTAAAGCCAGAGTTACGCTGGGAAACACTGCAGTATTACCTGGAAGTGGACGCGGATTTAAGCTGCAAAACATCATAAATCCTGGTTCTTCGTGTGACCAATTTATTGTGGAGTATTGCACCTCTACATGGGAGTCATACACAGTGACCATCACAGATAGTGGTGGGAATGTATTTGAAGAGTTAACGACAGTTGCAGGTGCACCAATTGTTAAGAAGCCGCTTCTGCATGGCCGTGTTCGTCCGTTGCTCAAGACTCCCAACACACTTACAATTGCGACTGTGACGCTCGACACTGTGACGACAATCCCTCTTGGAGGTTATATTGAAGCTGTATTTCCTGCTGACTACAGCGTTGGGGCTGGTGCGATCACAGCGAGTTTTTTGGTGAACATTCCCAGCGCTAGTACCGTTGTAACATCCACCCCAAGTTCCGTGAAACTACAGGTTGCAGGCGCGAATATCCCAGCGACCACCGGCATCTCGTTTACGGTTGACAAGATTACCACGCCTTCGAATAATGCGGTTGGAAACTTTATCGTACGCACTCGAGACGCGGGGGGAAATACGATTGAAGAAAGCAGCACTGTAGGTGGTGAAGGGTGCACGTACGTGAATGACTGCAGTGGACATGGCACGTGTACGCTTCTCTCGAAGATCTGCATTTGTAATACTGGCTGGGGAGCACCTACGGACGTTGCCGATTACAAGTCACCCGACTGTTCTACTCGTGTGTAACCTGCTGCTTACCTCCTGTATCGTGTTATTTCTAACCGAAACTCCATTCACGCAGGTGTGTGCTCATCAAGTTACGCCTGGAATTCCATTCCCACAAGCACCACGACAGCTCATGACACTGTTGTTGAATGCTCGGGCATGGGGGTCTGTAACCGAGTTGCTGGGACTTGCAAATGCTTCCCCGGTTTTGAAGGGTCTGCATGTGAAAGAAGTACGGACCTCGGCTTTTAAGAGCTGCTTGAGTTTGCTACATGTAGCTCGTCCTTACTGTTGATTGTTGTGTGGCAGTGAGTTGTCCAAACTGGTGCTCTGACCGAGGGACTTGCATGAGCATGCGCAGCATAGCTGCAGCCAGAAACGCTCAGCCCATCTCTCCACTAACAACTTACGGAGACAATCGGGTACGTCCGTGTTTAAAGATTGGAATCGGATTGAGCAGGAATCGTTGATCAAAGTCTTGCAGTTCTCAAGCTCATGGGACGCCGACAGGATTTTTGGTTGTGTCTGCGACTCCAGTTGGGCGGTCGGTACGGCAAGCGGCGAACTGCAAGCGACAGAATACTTCGGCGCGGACTGCTCGAAACGTACGCTTGATTCTCGCCCAACGTAGTGCGCAGTGGCCTAACCATTTTAAAAAACTTCAACAGGTCACTGCCCCATAGGAAACGACCCAGACACGACTGTAGACGAAACTAACTGCCAGGGTAAGACAGTTCCCGGGGGTACTGCAATAGGCCTCGCTGGGAATAAATGTCTTGTCGAGTGCTCCAACCGAGGGGTGTGCCACTACAAAACAGGCACCTGCATCTGTTTCCAAGGCTACACAGGATATGCCTGCCAAACACGAGACGAACTAGCCAAATAGCGTCATAAACCAAGACAAGGGAAGCGTCGGACGTCGATAAGGAGAGATAAAAAGATACGAGCAGTTGACATTTTCCGAGAGCCATGGCTGTCCAGCTTACCGGTACTGTGGATTTAAATAAGTACGACTGGCTACAATGTCCTGCTCGCTCTCTGTCTCCGTTCTAAGAATTCACGGTGCTCGACCGACAGGCAAAAAGTCGGTCGACTGTAAGAATGGGCAGAAACACCGGGTTATTCCATCTGAAGCAGCAGCTCCTTCTCGTCAAGAGCTTTCTTGGTGCTGATGTCGCAAATGTAGACTTTGGACTTGCGCCTCAGGTCGATCTTGGCCAGCTTCGATGGAGGCAAGTCATTCACTGTGGCCTCCACAAAGCCGCGTTCTAAAAACCAATGAGCCGTTCGTGTCGTTAACACAAAGAGCTTGGTGACGCCCATAGCTGCCGACTTGCGCATAATGTAGCCTAGCATAGCATTCCCCTTGCCGAGGTTGCGGTACGTGGAATCCACAGCCACACAACCCATCTCGGCAAAGTTGTTTTCGTAGGGTTGAAGTGTGCAGCAAGCGATGATAGCACCGTCGCGCTCCACAACTGTAAACGTGTCGACGTTACTCTCAATCTGTTCCTGGTCGCGCGACACGAGCACATCATCGTCTAGCAAAGGCTGGATGAGGCGCATGATGCTCACGATATCATTAGTTGTAGCCATGCGGATCCCTTCGTACATGTGCTTTGTGATCATAAGACCTTCGCCATCTCGGGTAAAAAGTTCCTGTAGTAAACCACCATCCACGTGCCGACTGACAAGATGCGAGCGTTTGACTCCATTGACGCACGCCTTGATAGATTCCTTCAGGTATAGCAAGAAGTCACCGCTAATATCTGGGTTTTGTCGAGCCAGTTCGACATACTGTTGAGCCTGCTCGATGACCAGAGTCTGCACGACTGAGTTGGATCGCGAGTCGATTAGTTCCTCGCCATTATGCAGAAAGATAAGCTTAGCACTCCCCAACTGAATAGCGCACTTGCTAGCCACCTGCTCCGAGAGGCAGTTGAAGACCTCACCGCTGGCACTGTAGCCGATGCTCGAAATGAGCACAATATCGCCGTCGTCCAGTGCAGTGCGCACCTTATCCACATTGAGTCGTCGCATTTCTCCTGTGTTCTTAAAGTCCACACCCCCTCGCACACCCACCGGTTGTGCCGTGATAAAGTTACCCGAAGCAATGTTTATAGTTCTGGCACGTCCCGGAGAGTTGACAATTCCTCGCCCGAGGTAACTTTCAATCTGAAACCGTACAGAGCCTGCTGCGTCCATTGCACATTGGAGCTCCATGGGTCCCGTGATGCGCATGCCGCAGTCGAATCTCTGCGAGAGCTTCCGGAGTGACAGTTGGCGATTAAGTTGCGGCCTCGAACCAGCCACTAGAACCAGCTTGACGCCGAAGGTATTGAGTAATGCAATGTCGTGCATGACGGCGCCAAAAAGGTTGGATTCGACCAATTGCCCCGGTAGATGAATGACCATAGTGGTGCCTCGATGGAAATTAATGTAGGGTGACATGTCTCGGAACATGGCGGTGAAGGAGGATGGGCCTACGGAGGTGTTGCGGCCCTCGGTCTGTAAGCCCTGTTGCACGCGCAGACACTCGGGTGGCACGATGGGCATGAAATCGGAGTAGGCGGCCTGGTCGTCTTCGGTGGGCGGAACCAGACCGACAGGTCCCAATCCGTGGCCGTGGCCAGCATGTGCGAAGCCATGACCGTGTCCGGTACCAAGTGCTTCATTGACGGGTACGGAAGGAGATCCCGCCGCGTGCAGCGCTACACGGGCGGACGTGAAGACTCGCAAACTGCCCAGAGTCGAGCGTGAGTGGCCGCAGGCGGACGAGAAGAGCAGTCTGCGAGAGTGTATGGCGCTGGGACGGACCCACATGGAGCTTGGGAGCGTAAGCCTTGGTCAGAAGGAGGAAAGCGCGTCTGCGGCTTGGCGAATGCGAATGTGGCACAGCCGTCACGGTTGGCCAAGCAAAAACCACCTACTGTGCTCTTTTTTTTTCTGGCTTGTTTGACAAGCGTGAAAGATCGGGGCTCCATAACGGAATGTAGGAGAAGTTTGGCTTGGAAAAGTAAAAACTGAAGATGTTGAATGGGAGGACAGACAGTAGGGAGAGTGTTGGAGCCTCGTTACAAAGGCGTTATCTCGGAGCTTTTTATTGTAAGCCTGCATCGCATCGCAAATATTGGAGAGCAAAGTGTCACACGTTGTCTCCATGACGACAACAGAGGCGATCACTGAAGCCGTCTTGCCTTCCAGAATGTTGCGGTGCTTGGATACGCTCAGCGAGTTGCTAAATCGGCTACTTCAGTTTCCATGTTGCCGTTGCCTCAGGCTTAGGCTAGGAGCGAATCCTGGACAATTCTAAAGAAGTATTATCCGCAATTTTTTTAGAGCACTGAGTTAGATCCTTCCTTAACCCCTTAGTTCCCGTATGTTTAGCCGCTAAACATAAGAGGTGTATAGCTTCTTTCAGTTTTTTTCGGCATCTATGTTATGTTTAGCGGCTAAACATAAGAGAAAAACTGACTTGGAGTTTGTATTGAACAGATCTCAAGAGAGCGCAGGAAAGCTCAATACTGAAGTCAAGACAAAAGTGGGAGCCTAAAACGGCCGGATGCACAGGCTTAGGGTAGCTGGACCGGATTCCTGATTGAACGAGATAAAGAGAGGCGGTGTCACCCACCACCAACGGGTGGCCGACAGTCACAAAACTCTCTCATACTTCAAAACGACCGCGGGGGCAGCAGACCAGAATGGTGGCGACGTCTGGCAAGATGCCACGACGGACGCTGACAGCGGAAGAGACCCGGTTGTGCAAGGCAGCCATCAGTGACCGCCACAAGCGTCGCCTTCGTCGAGACGACGAGAAACAGTCAGCAGCAGAGCCAAAGCATGGCGCTGAGGGGCGTGCGTTGAAGAAGCAGTCTAGGAAGAGGGCGGTGAAACTTACGACGACAGCCATGGAGATAGCAGAGTCTAGAGGTCCACATATTGAGCCGGCAGCACCCAAAGAGACAGAAGCAACAGCGAGTACGGACGAAGCTAAAGAGGTAATACCTGTTGCAGAAAATGAGGAAGATTCTGTGGAACCAGAGGTGGAGGAAGTTGTAGCAGACGTGGTGATGGCTGTGGCTTCAACTGTGGCTTCAAGTGCGCTTCTAACGCCTGTGCGAGATGCTCAAGGCGCTGTGGAGACCTTGCGCCCCCCCTCGGACGAACAAGCAGGCGCCGGTTACGCAAAAATCCCCGAAACGACGCCGCCGCGTCCTACAAGACAGTCCAGAACGCGAAGCTCAAGCTGAAGGCACCATAAGTGACACCACAGACACCGGTGCTGCGTCAGCTGCCCCGCATCTCCCTGTCGCCTGCGTAGTCGACGGTGATCCTAACATCATGGCGGCTGGTGCACGTGAGTGCACTGGCCTCGGATCAGAAGAGGAATCTGGTCCTGATTCAGACGATGACGACGCGGACAGTGAGTGGGAAGGAGATTGGGAGCTTGGAGAACTCTCTGATGAGGAGTTAGCCGATTGCGTTGGAACTGAACTACCGGACACGTTCTGCAAGTCGGTGGCGATGAATGCGGCGCGTTTGGCGGAGATGAAACATTCTGGCTGGGAGTATGGTAAGTTATGTTGAACGCTATCCAACATACGCAACTATTATTCCGTCGTTGTCTAACATAATGTTAACATTATCTAACTCACTTTGATGTGCTATTTGTAGACCAGTCCAAATTTGGAGACAATCCTACGTATGAAGACCTTTACGACGGGCCTTATGGACCATCTGAGAGCGTCCTTGGAGTGGCTGAAGACCCACTGGCGCTGTTCTTCTACTACCTACCGCCAAAATTGTGGAGACAGATTGCCGTCGAGAGCAATCGCTACCACACGCAGTCGATACCGGGTCGTGCGCAGGCGATTCAAGCGAAGCAGCGTCGTGGTGGTGGAGAAGTAGAGAACCTCGCAGATATTCGTCGGCGACTAGCACGTGTGAAGCCGATAGAACCGTGGGAGGTTTTGCGCGTCATCGCGCTTCTCATTGCAAGGATGCTGTCTCCAGTGCGAAAGGGGATTGCTGCTCACTGGGAGTTGACACCGGCTGGTGCGTTGCCAACGCCACGCTTCGGCAAGTACATGTCCCGCAACCGGTTCTTCCACATAATGGGATACTTGCACTTCTCCAACAACAAGTCGCCTCAAGCTAGCACGGATCGTGTATGGAAGATTCGGCCGGTTATCGAGGTTTTACAGCGTACATTTGCGCGCGGCTACAAGATTCCTCCTGTCATTAGCTTTGACGAAGCTACGCTGCCTTCAAGATCCCGCTACAATCCTACCAGACAGTTCAACAAGGACAAATCGCACAAGTGGGGGACCAAGGTGTTCGTGGCAGCGTGTGCAGATACAGCTTATTGCATGAGGTGCGTTCAAGGTGGCAAGCTAATGCTTGCCACCTTTTTTTTTGGTCTAAGTGCTTATGTTGGACGGGCAAACATCCACATTGTGGAGAATTTCCTAATCCAACATATTTATTACTTTTACTAATATCGTGTGCGTTTGTGCGACTGTTCAGATTCGAGGTGTACTGTGGTGCTAAGAGTAATCTCCGGACTCCGATTCCTGCTGATAATAATTGCGGCGAGGCTGCCGTACTAAGGAACATGAACGCGCTGTGCCCGCCATCACCGACCTCCCCGTGGCGTTTGGTAATCACAGACCGGTTTTACACGTCGGTGAAGCTGGCATTGGAGCTGTTACAGCGACGGATGTACATTACGGGTACGATCCAGACGCGTATGGCAGGGTACGCGAAGGATGTGAAGACTGACAAGTCTTACAGAACCGTGAATGGTGTGAGAGAGCTAGTACCACCACAGGGGACAATCAAGCTGGCTGAAAATAAGCTTTTTCCGCAGATAACTGCAGCAATGTGGATGGACCGCAATCCCGTCCACATGCTGAGCAGTGGTGGCAGCAGAGAAACAGTCAGTGTCAGTAAGTAAGCCTGTGTGTTTATATATATGTATCATTGCTCACTATTGTGCTTTTTTATTGTAGTGCGGCGTATCAAAGGCCAGATGAAAGAGCTACCGGCACCGGAGCTGGTTCGTGACTATCACCGATACATGGGAGGTGTTGATGTGCACGACCAGCTCCGGATGCAACGCTACAGCGTGCAGCTTTCGTACAAATCACGAAAGTACTACAAGACCTTGTTTCTCGGATTGCTGGACATGGCGTTGGTGAACGCCTTTATTGTGTATCGACACAACCAGCGTGCCAATGGGCACAAATCCCCGAAGCATTCCGCATTCTTCGAGACACTCAAGGAACAACTACTTGCTGTTGATGAAAACTCTTTCGCTGAGATTGAGGTAAGTTGCTATGATGGGTTTGGCAACATAAATGCATTTACTAATATGTGTTATGTTGGTTATGTTTCCTATTCTAGAAATCCACCTCCGCTGAGGAGCGTACAGCCGCTTCACCTGCACGAGGAGCGTCGCCAAGACGGGAGGAGCAGCGACGTGGCTCAGACCGCATTGATGATGGCCACGAACTGGCGGAGAACCCAGACAAGGCCGACACTGAAACCGGAAAGAAGCGTCGCCACAGAACCTGCAAAGTGTGTGCTATCTACAAGGTGGTGCCGCGGAAGTATACGAAGTATTACTGTCCAGAATGCTCTGCAGGGTCAAAGAGGTACGTACATGCTGTTCATGCTTGATACTAACACGGTGATAGCGCTGACTGTAGGTTGTGCCGCAGGAAGTATCTCTGCAACGTTGTTAGGGAGGAAAGGGAGCGCACGTGCTTTCAGATATGGCACCTCGACTGGAGGAACGGGAATGACATCCCGAGCCGCTTGCTACGCGACCACAAGATACGCGACCGAGCGCCAGCGGAGCGTCCAGGCAAGAAGCGACACCGCCGACGTGATGCGAGCGGCAGTGAGGCGTGCGCGAGTGAAGTAGCAGCGGGTGGGTCCGACGCTGACGCATCCGGCGATGCCGATGACCAGGCCCCGAACAAAGACGCTGCTGCAGAGGGGGAGCAATCGTAGTGTGCGCCGTTTGCGTGTGCAATCAAATGAATAGTGGTTACATTGATTTGCTTCTATTGGCTATTTCTTCTTTACTTGACGTGTGCAATGTTACACAGACAATGATCTCAATAAACAGGCCATTTACAATGTTGCATCAGTCATCTTATGCAGCAGTACAACTGAGAAAATCCAACATGAAACAGGAATATGTTGGATGTGCTCGTTTTTATCCATTAGCAACCCTGCACTATCCATTTGCATAGCTGGACGAAATTCGGGGCCATACAAATTCCTATATTAAATTATGTTGGAGCTCCAACATAAGATCAAAATATACCCCTGACTTTTCGGCCGGGAACTAAGGGGTTAAAGGTAGGTAATCGGTAAATTATACTGATATATTAGAGGCGCACTAGATTTGAGTTTCAGTTTCAGAACAACACCTTTTTATGCAAACTGAAACTAGAATCCTTGCCAACCGAAGGTGCTGCCTCAGTTTCAGTTTGACGAGTTTCAGACTAACGGCAATACCAGTGGAAGATACGATGCCAGACCCGGAGACTTATGCGCTCACACCGTTTGCCTTGCCCACGGACCCGTCTCCCAGTGTACTTATAACTTTACAGTGACTGATGATCTTATTTTGCGCCGCTGTGCAAACTTAGTGAAGCCATGGGAGGCTGCCGTGAGCACAGCAAATGGAATCATGAAGGCCTTTGAGATTATAGCAGAAAAAATACCGCGCTGTTGACGGATTTTTGCGGACCGGCCCTGCGTACTCGCTTTGATCGGCTAGTGCGTATGTTTCGCGAGGCACAGAGAGC